GCCCCCGCCCCCCCAGCTGTGTGGCTTTGTTCCGGCCCCACCCTTAGCTTTCCCCTCTGCACCTTCACATCTTCTTTACCCTTTCAAGGCTGTACTTAATGTTTCCTCAGCCTGATTTCACTCTTATAAAAACTTGGGGTGGAGCCTGGGGGTGGAGGGTGAGGCTGTTTGGGGGAGAACAAGTGATGACTCCCAGCTCCTAGCCCTGTGTGGGGCCCTGCTCTCAGGGGCTCAGGGTGTATTGCAGGGCTTGGACAGTAACCTCATTGGCTATCTTTTCTGTGGACCTGGAGCTTGTGTTGAAGGCAAAGGGATTCCTGTGAGGCAGCTGAGAACTGGCAGGAAGATGCTAAAAAGCCCACTTTAACCCTGGGATGCCTCCTGTACTCCACTGCTTGAATCAGGCTCACCTGCTGCTGTCCTTGAGGCTGCAGGCCCCAGTGACACACATCTCCTCACCAACACATGCAAATTTGTATGCATGTTTCCCACCTTTAGCAAGCATTGGTCTAGGCACCAAGGCTAGGGAAGGCTTGGTTGTTCACTGTTTCAGGGCGGAGGTCCCGGGGCTGGATAGGCAGGGACAGAATATGGGTATGAATTGGGCAGGTATGCAATATTTGAGATCTTGAGGTACAGGAAAAGGATGGCTGTCTCTGCCTCAGGGTTAAGTCTGCGAGACCAAATCCTCAGTGCTGACCAAAGCAAATGAAAAACTGACAGGCCAGGCCAGCCTGGCTCAGCTGTCCTGGAGACATTTGTTGTGTGGGAGGAAGAGGGAACCCAGAGCTGCACACTGGTCAGTCTCTACCTATCACCCCAACACCCTTCTGGGGACATCCAGGTCCCTGACCAGGATCTGTCCCAGCAGGAGCTTTGAGGACAGGTGGGGACAGGTCTTCTTGTTGTTCACCCATCAGTCGCTACCCACCCCTGTGCTGTTGTCAGTATACCATACCCTCGTCTCTACTTCTGAGCATTCTATGCAGTTACACCTTTGCCTGGAATGTTCCAGAACAAATACCTCTTCCAGGAAGCTGTTGTGAACTACTCATTGGGAGAGAAGCTGTGATTTCTCTTCCTCTACACCTCATAAAATGCCTGTGTGGGGTGTCCCAGGTCACTCAAACCGTGTCCTTCCGTAGCCTCTTATACCTGCCGCTGTCACTCATCATGCCTTGTGGTCCAGTTACCTCCTGGTCTTACATCTTTTAAGACCCCACCCAGTGTTAGAACTTCCACTCAAGAGTCCACGACTATCTCTTAATTTGAAATGCTTCTCAGTGGCTGTTTCTAGGAAGCCTTCAAAAGCTAACTGGATGAAAAAGGCCCCTGACTAGCCTGGAGTCCCTAGCTTCTGAGACACTCTCTGAGTCACCCGTAGTCTGCAGCACACACGGCTGTGCTCTTTGGAGGCCCAGCCACTCATACCCCCTTGCCCTGCTTTGCCTTCTTCACCTCCTCTGTACCAAGGTTGGGTGCTCTGGGCCAGTCTGATCTTCCCTACACTAGGCCTCACTGCCTCCCATTCCTTTGGCCTTTTCCTCTGGGCTTGGAATCCTCCGCTTGCAGGAAGCTTTCTTGGATTTATCAGAAGGCAGCAGAGCACTGATACTTCACTGGTCCTGCTCTGCTTGGCCCTGGAGGCACCTGCTGACCCTACCTGTTCTATATGTGTATCTGCCTGGCTGTCTTTTCATCCAAAGTATGGTATAGGGGCCCTGGGGACATCTGGCTCACCCCAGAAATGACTTCCTAAAAAATTTTGCTGGCCACACTTTTACTTTGACACCAAAGCTGTGACAAATGCACATGGCTGGGGCTGCTCTTTAAGGGGATTCTTGGTCCCCTGACTCTTTCTTCAATATTTACAGATCTGGGCAGGTCTCCTCAGAGACCCAGAACAGGGGAAATAGGGGTCAGAGAAATAGGTAGAAGCTGGAGGAACAACCATCCCTCCCAGGGATATCACAGGCTAGTCCCGCATCTGCTGGCTAAGCCTCCCTGCCCTGGCCCCATTCTTTCCTCATGGTTTTCCCTCCAGAAACCCCAAGAGACTCCATTCTTTCCCAAGCTGTCCTCACATGCTGTCCCCCACGCCCCCAACCCTGTCCCAAAGTCCTCCCAATAGTGGCCTTCCTGGTCCTGCAGCTGCTGTGGTCAGAGAAGACGATACTCCCACAGCAGAGCCTCTGGTCTCAGAACTGAGCCACATTAGTGGTTCTTAAACCTTTACTTTCTTTTTAGCAGCAGAAACATATCCTAAATCATGAGAGGAAGACAGTTATATAATGCCATGAAATCATTCCTGGATATCCATGGGAGATTGGTTTAGAAACCCCAAGGATGACAAAATCCAAAGACTTCAAGGCCCTTCTACAAGATGGTGTTGAATTTGATTAGAGGCAACACAATCGTTTTGAACATTTTAAGTCATTTTTAGGTTAACCTCAGTATCTGATACAATGTAAATGCTATATAAATTGTCACACTAATGTACATAGGGAACAGGAGAAGGAAAAGCCTATAACATCCAGTGCAAGTACTGTTTTCTCTGCTGTATTTGGCTGAACCATGGACCCAGAAAACAGTCGTGTGTTTACTTTTGTCTTTATCTAGAGAACATGCAAGCTGTGCCACTGGTCTCTCTGCTACTGTCCCTGGACTCCCAGTCCCCAGAGTCCTGCTCCTCTTAGGTTAGGTTGGATTATGCCACTTACCTGCTCTAATGTCCCAGTGGCTCCTTAGTGAACCTGGAGTCTGAAGCGTAGGTGACAAGACCTTGCTCTGTCCATTCCTTTGTCTTCTCACATGTCTCTTTCCTTTGCTCTCGGCACCTACACTGGCCCTTGAACATGCCAGGTACACTCCTGTCTCAGGGCTGTCCCTCCTGCTCAGTGTCTTCTTCTTACCTGA